AGAAAAACTAGGAATTTTCCAGGTTGTCATTTTTACTACCAAAAAATCTAGAATTTCAGTCAAAAATAGGATGAAAAGTGACGATTGTCGTCACTCTCTGTACACCCACGTCGACTTTTATCTCTAACAATGCATGCAATTCAAACGAAAACTTGCACTTGTTTTTCCTCCTGAAAAATCGCTTTATTCTTCTGTAACGTTTGCTTTGCTTTAACACTTTTGCCACCTTCTCAGAAATCTAATTATAAATAAATTTGGACACCAAATCTTTCGAGAGAAATAACCTTCCCTTTTATGTGGTCACTCGTTCAGCGTGTGGGCGGATTGGATTTGAGTCACATTTATGAGCAAACACGACGACGAACAATTTTATTTTATTTTAAGCATATTCTGACAAAACTGAAACTTGTACCTTGGTCGTCTTTTTCTAAGAATAAAATGCACTATTTTCGTCATCGATTCGAAACAAGTTTCGTCCTTATACAACAACTTCTAAGAAATTGGAGATGAATCAGGTCACAAGAAGAAGAATAAGAAGAAGACGAAAGTAGGCAAATTATTAAGGAGCAAGGAAGAAAAAACTTCAACTTGGCTAAAAGTTTAGGAGTCTCATTATTATAGATGTACATACTTTACGAGTACCTAAGAAAACCGTGAGCAGGGGCCGCGGAAGCCGTGGGGACATCTGGGGACATTAACATTGTAGGATAGGGGAAAGGAGGAGTATATACAACATGGGCAGATGGTCGGGACAACGAATAATCATGGGGGCATTGTCTCCCTGTCCCCCCGCTTCCGCGGCCACTGACCGTGAGTGCACAATGTGAGCTACATATTTATTTCTGGATCCTTAATAAATACCTGCAGGTACATACACATGACTCTGTTTTTTAAGCAGAAAAAATTGGATCATCCATCTCTGTGTGTCCTTTGTTGATTTGATGCACCACAGAAAATTTGCAACTTGTGTACTAGTAGATATTATTACTCTTTGCTTGCTTGCCTGCTGTTACTACTTTTTTTTTTTAGCTCGTTTTCATTTCCGTGCTACATTTCAGCAATGTACAATGTAAAGAAAAAATAATTAAAAAAGCCTACCAGCACACATTTAATCCTCTATTACGCACTGCATCAGCACGCAACAAAACAATGAAAAGATGAATTGTACGTCTCGTTTAATTGAATTGTAAGCAAGCTCATTTTGACGGATGGATATTCGTGTAGTGAGGTGATTTCCTGTAAAGGTCTTCATAGTAATATTTTTATCATGCGTAGAGAAAGAGAGAGATGAAATACATAATATGCAATTTCGCGATCTCCTCGTCGAGGTTCACATATTTAGTAAAATAGGGAAAAAAATACACGGATTAGTTACACCCGAGCTGATATTCCTGCAAAAAGGGGCGAATTTCCAGGTCAGTCATTCCACATTGTTATAACAATATCTTCATGTGGAAGGAGAAGTCATTAACATTTTAAAAAATAATATGGCATGTGTGAGTGATGATGAGGAGATGAAGTATTAATTGATAAATACGACAAAGACTCATGCACAAATATAGAATACACGCTAAAATAAATAATTTGCACAAATAAATTTGTATCTCTGGTCTGCTGATAAATATAAAAAGTATCAGATATTGCACACAGTATTGACCATAATCACTGAGTACTGTTGTAAAGTGTGCCTCTTTTTTGCATCGACTTAATTTAAACGAGCGAATATATAGAGACGTATTCGCAATATGCATAATATAATTGTGGTGGTATGCTGCCCACTATAAAAGTTGGCATATCCACACCACTGCCACTAACTAACTAAATGGCAAGAAGGGGGGTCGATGACTGTTTAATACCACTTATTTGAAGTTTGAGTAATTCTGATCCAAATAAGAGATTGAGTTTTGCAGTTAAAGTTACAGCATAACATTTCGCATTCATATATTCTTCTCGTAGTTATCTTATGCAAATACGTACCAGTACGAAATATAATAGGTCTGGCTGGTGGTGTGTGCCATCGTGGATGGATGGTTGATGGGATGGCATTATATAAATAAATATGAGTGATGTGAAATATTTGAAGAGCAAATAGACAAGATTTTGTATTAGGAGAGCCCACAGAGAAGAGAGGCTGAATGATGTGCAAAACGCTGCTTTTTTATACCCAAGTGTTTGTCAAGTGGACCAATAAAGTCGATAATATTTACTTAGCTCAATAGTCAGAGTGAGTCGGTTCAAAAATCGGCCAAAACAAAATACTTGATAAATGTCAGTAAAACTTGGAATTTTGGGAGTGTGTGGTCACATATTTGGTAAATTTGATAAGAAATTAATAAATAGAGTAGAGCTAGAAATAGAGGAATGCAAATTGTCAAATTACTTAATACGAGAAAAATGCCTTAATCAAAATTGGAATTTTGCAAGTGTGGTCCTGGTCGCGTACTAAATTTCGTGCGAATTTAAAATAGAGCTAGAGATTGGCAATTGGATCAAATTCGCCAAAAAATCGCATGAGTTTTTTTAGCTTCGCTAAATTCATGGTCACATACCAAATTTCACATGCTTCGAATTTGATAAGAAATAAATAAACAGAGCTAGAAATAAAGGCATGGAAAGGATCAAATTTGGCAAAAAAATTCGCACAAATATTCATCATGATTTCCTCTAGCTTGGCTAAATTCATGGACATGCAAGTGCATAATTAGCAGTATACAGCAAGGTTTAAAATACTATGTGTACGTGTGCTTAAGCTCATTATTTTGGTTTTGTTTTGTGTATCTGCATTAATTAAATAATTTGTAAAATCCCCGACAAAGAGAAAAAAGGAACACAATATCACTTTAGTTAATCCTTTTCCCATGTTAGTTACATTACATGCATACTTTGTGTACTATTTGGTAGTATCGAGTGTCGTCCATGAAGCCATTATACATACTGAACAAACGATGTCCATGTATTCGAAATGACTTGCACCCTCTGCTCTGGTCGAGGAGCAATTTGCAAAAATAAATTTGCAAAGTGTTCATGCAATGTGTTTAGTTGCTTGCTTGCGATGTCAAAGGATGCGACCATGGCCCATTTCAAGTCCGTTAAACTCTTTGTATCTCTTTACTATTACGTACGTACGGCATATGCTCAGACCATTTGGGCCATTTGTTAATGTTAACCGCACATTCATCATCACATCACATCACACACATGCAAATTAGTATATGTACACGATTCGCGAATATATGTAGTATTCGCGAATATTTGTATGTAGTAAATGGCAACAATACATTTTTATATCGGGGAAGAGAAGTTTATGCACATGGTGGAAAAGTATGTTTAATGGAACGTTTAATTTTTTGGGGGTGATGACTCACCGCATTTTATCTGCAGCTAAAAATTTAGGTTTTATAGATAATGCAAATATCGACCTGTTGATAATTAGTTATCATTGGTAATGGTAATTGCTCGTAATTTAAGGATATGGTATAAACAAATGTATGCGGAGTTAAATAGTCTCACAAGTCTCAATTTACCAAAAGAGTATCGAGTGTACCTTAAAAATGCAGCTTTTTTAGTCGAACGGCTTGGCCCACTTTCTTTCCTTCTTTATCAAGAACAACGACTTGCATGACTCCAGAAGGAGATGAAGAAACGTTTTATCTGTAAAGTAAACCGAACAAGATAAAGATTGCATCATTTTGTGCAGGCTTCGGCCTCCTCCTGGGAATAATTCTGGTCGCAAAATTCAGCCCCCAAATACTTATAAAATAAATTCGGATCGTTTCGTGCCTTCGTGGAAGTATAAACCTTCCAGAACAAATTTCTGCCGTCCGGGTTGCATCAGTCCAGTCGATGAGAGAGAGAGAGAGAGAGACGTTCATACAATGCAACAAATGAGGTTACGCAACAGAAGAACTGCATCATGCGGTACAACGTGACTAAGCCCTGTGAATAAGTACCTAGAAGGACCTGGGCGAGGTAGCGGTGCTTCATCGGCACACAAAACTAGCTCAAATCATGAAATCACGTATGTACACATACGTAGGTATACTTTCTTCAACGGATATCATGGGTAACATTATGAAAATTTATGTGTTTGTCCAAAATTTCGATTGCCAATTGTAGTGTTCATGAGGGATTTAGATACATTAACAAAATTAAAATTAAAATCAACTCACGTAGATAATTCACCAGTTTTTTTTGCAAATCAGCGAAAAATTCCTACAAACTGAAGCGAAACGTTTTCGTTTAGACAGATTTAGTTATGTTAGATGTTATGAAACCAAAAAATAAGAAACATTGATTCTAAGCTGTCGGATACAACGACAATTCTTCAAATTCCAAACTTTATCTCACCCCGATAACGCATTTTTTCTACACGACTTTCTGCAAGTATTCTATCATAAATATTTGCGATAATTCTGTACATCTTCAAATATTCAGCCATATATAACAACACAAAGTATGCATCTACAAAGTTGTTGTTTCTCTCACTACTACTTTTCATTATCTGCATATACATACTTACTCGTAACACAGCACGTATTCATCTCTGATGTGTAATGTGTATGTGCTGTAATAAAATGAGATTTTAGACCGTGCAAAATTTTAGCCGGCCGAGGGTGAGTCGGGTTGGAAACTCGTTTCCTATATTTACCAACATTCCGGAGAAATTAGGTTCCCCGTCAAATTTCAGTAATTTCACAACTCTGCAAATTTCCCTGTTAAAATGATATCATAAATTGAACATTTGTAAATGCTTGACACCGCTTGTGAAAAAACTTGCAAAAATAAATATCTCACCGGATCAACTTTCCCCGCGAAAAGGGTCAGAATTTGGAAACTGCCCAGATTTGACAGTTCGAGACAAGTCGCATAACAATAAGAAATTTCTTTTTTTTGCAAGAATTTCTGAAAATCTTGTCATAAAAACGAAACGTTTGGGTGATCCATTCCCCTATCGTTCCTCTCTCAAAGTGACATTGAAGTTACCGGCTCAGCGAAGCTACAGCAACTCTGCCGTTCAGTCGAAATCCAACGCTCAGCCGAAGCACATGTCCCAACTCTGTTTACAAACAATCCCAACTACGCACTCACTCACTTTAGCTGCTGGAGAAGAAAAAGTCTCAAATTCCCGAACCTAATTTTCGAGTAAAAATATATTTTTTTGAACACTACTTTTCCTATTCCCGACCTCCGTACTTACTCAAAAAGTAAGAATTAGAGAAGGAACGAAGCTGGCTACTTTCCACGACCGACAAGTTTTTGAATCCTCGTCATTTTCGTCGTGTTCTTCATCCAGAATTTCGACAGTTTCGACTTCTCCTTCATCTTCCTCCTTGACTTTACTACTGCCCAATGAAGCCCATTTTCTACAACACTATACGGCAAGAGAGCACCATAAGGAAACCACTTTTCTAGACAGGAACAAGTATTATTTTAGGGGAGGAAGAAGAATTGAAAATTTACAAATACCGGCCAGAATTATTACGGCTTTGCTAGAGTCGTACGCATTTGAGGTGTTTCGCCGGACAAATTTTATACGGGGTGTGATACATGTAATTAACTATTAATCATAGTAGTGGATGAAAATGGAAGCGCTGTCGAGTTGATACTCCGGCAAGAAGTAAGATAGAGAAGTGATTGTATTTTGACATAGTTAATTGGATAATCAAAGATAGAAATCCGTCTTCTGCTAGTCCTTCCGGGAAAAAAAGTAAGTAAAAGTTACAGAATTATAGTAGAATAGTTAATAGATATTGGATTTATAATCGAATCTAATGATTTCCTCAAATCCATAGGTTTATAGGAAATTGATATACCGGCATTTTCGTCGTGTTTTGGATCTGAAAGAGAAAAACTGTCTGGACGAATGCAAATCCTGTTAATTATTTAAAACTGTTGATTGATTGATTAATTGGAGAAGGAAAGAGACCACAAATCTCTTGGGTTTGACTGTTCATTCATTTACAAGTGGATCTCAATTATCTCACCAATCTCACGCACGTCACTCTTTTTGAAGAATCAGAGGAAATTATCATCATCTATCATGGCTCCGAATCGAAGAGCAAAGAATGATCATGGAGGCAACCATGGGGGCAGTGGGGGTGGTGGTGCCGGCGGCGGTGGGGGTGGTCCTGCCCACAATCAACGCAATGGCAACCAACACGGACGAAATGGAATGGCTTCATCGTAAGTTTAAATGGACAATTTAAATCTCGTCTGCAGCATCATTACAAAATTTTAGAATCGCAGCAGTATTCAGATTACAGCATAATGCACTCCATATCACAAATATTTGCACTCGATACATGCATAATTATTTGCATTAGCACAAACCGAAAAACCGGCCGGCGTATTATCCATATTTTTATAGGTATAAGTAACTTGACAGGTCCGGGTTTTGCTTTTTGGCCATGTTTTTATGTCACGATACATGATACTCGATATAGCATGCCAATTATCTGGTTAGTGTGTTGTGTGTGGTGACTTTATATTATCTGCTCGGTTTTCCCATATAAAATCTGGTTTTATGCCTGTAATTTTTTTATACCAAACGACTAACCAGTGTCTGCCTGCATGCAGTTGTGAATCGCAAATATCTGCTGGGTATTAAAAACTGAGCCATTATGTATAAAAGTAAATGTAAACAGTTCGTGTCCTGCAGCCTAAAATGTGGTTCTAGTTTAGTTTGTGCATATCTAACAGCTTGAGCTATCTATACCTAGATATCTAGATACATATCTGGCAAGCCAAAGTTATAAACTGACTCAAGCTGGCTTGGATTTCGCTAATGTCGTAAATTATTACGTCATGCCATGTAAAATATATGTCTTTGACAAGTCGAAGCAAGGGCAATGAAGGGCAAGTTCGTTTCATTTCTTATTTTGCATGCACATTAAAATTTTAGCTGCGACTTGCTAAATAAAAATGTGCCCGAGATGCATACACGGACCGACACGCTAATAATCACCATGTAACAAAATAACCATGTCCCAGCTTGACATTGACATTGCTTGCACTTTCATTCAAAATATGTAAATATAATATAGATCATTACATAAGTGTTGTCATTGATAAGGAGAACGACGACAAAACCACAAAATTGCAACTTTACTTACAAGCAAAACAATAACACGTTTAATGACATGAAGCACTAACTCATTGAATTCAAGTATTTTGTAATCATTTGTTATTGTACGGAATACATAAGTCAAGTTGCACCAGAGAATAGTTCATTAATAGTTTACTTTACTATAATCACCCCAGCCAACAATTCTTTGTGTTTTCTGGATCAATTCGGCCACAATTTTCGACCTATTCGGGATCGATTTCTTGACGATTCGTCTAGAAATCCCAAAGAAATCGGTGGGAAATGTCCGCAGAATCGTACAGATTTCTTGACGATTCGTCACGAATTTTTTTGCCGAATTCTGTACGAATCCTTTGCGATTCTTTCTCGACTTCGTGATGATTTCTGATAGAAATTCTAATGAATTTTGTACGAATTCTGCCCGAAATCACTACGATTTACATTGAAATCAAAAATTAGATAAACGATTTGCTCTTTTGAATTATTTTATTACTTTGATGACCATAACAAAAAATAAACTAATTACTTGTAAATTAATTCTGTGATGATGGCGAGGGCAGTTTTTTGCTGAATGGCTGTTTCCTGTGAAATTAAAACAGGTTTTAAATATTTTGCACAATATATTGATAATGGCAAAAAACTTAAAAATTTGAAACAAAACTATAGCAAAATTTAATGGCAAAAATATAAAACTCACTTCTTGCTTTTATACATACGATCACGGGCCTTAGTCAACTCCTTCGAGATTCCGTCATCAATTTTTGCAAGGTCAGGTAGCAAAGGACTCATCAGATTTGCTGCACCCCCTAATAATTAAAAAATTGTAATAAATTCAACGGAAGAAATCTACCAAATTATAATAATATGATTCACATAATATGATTCACTTTACTTATTCATACTTACTGTAAAGGACATCTTTGATATCCGCCGGCGGATTCTCTTCATTCCTTTTAGACTATTTTGGACAATAAATCGTCAGTCAGCAATTTTTTCGGCACCATCCATATCAACTTCCTCTTATTCCCTCACTCCTCCAGAGACGATGGTGATCTGAATACCCCAAACAACAATTACCAAAAGCAATACGAAATAGAGACGGATAAAACTTGCTACAACATTTTACAAAATCAAATACTTACCAGGTTAGATTTTGGAGAGAGGATTTATTATTCGGATTACTTTCCAAATTATTATTGTTCTTTAAAATCCTGTTTTTGTCTGAAGGAGCGCAGTAATAAATTGCGTGGGCTCATGGCCACCTCCAAGAACAAACTGCAGCCTTAGCTAGAATTCCTTTAGAATTCGTACACTCTAAGTGAGATTACCGAAATCTCCAAGAAATCGTGACGAATTCGGGCTATCTTTCTGTCTAAATTCGATCAAGATTTTCCTCTAAGAATTCGGAGTGAAATCACAAAGAAATCGTAACGAATTTCGATCATCTTTCGGCGTACATTCGTTGAAGATTTTTCTATGAGAATTCGCAGTGAAATCATATAGAATTCTTCAAGAATTCTGGCATCTTTCGAGCTCGGTGTAATTTCGACATGTTCGTACAGAATTCTTTCAAAGAATTTTGGCCGAATTGTTGGCTGGGACATTAGGGTCGATTGTTCCCATTTAGAATTTTCGTGTTCCGACGAATCTGACTCAGAATGGAGGTCCCTCAGTGTATACTCACATATTTTGAGCAAACTGGTGTCAATCGATGACAAATTTAATTAGTATGAAATTTGCAACAAACATGACCTCCCAATGGGCACGTTTGGCAGGGATATTTGCATCTAAAGAGGAGAAAACGCGCCCTAAAGTTGACAAATTTTACACTTTCTAAATTTAGTGCATGTTTTCTCCTCTTCGGATGCAAATATGAGATCGTGTCTTTTGCAAATTTCGTACTGAATTAAATTTGTAATGGATTGACACAAGTTTGCTCAAAATCGGGGAACATACGCTGGGAAACCTCCATTATCACACGACCACAAGCAGGAATTAAAGGGTACCTGTTATACGGGCCGAAATAGAAGCCGAGCTATATTACACCACCGATTACGGAAAGAGAGAGGAAGGTCAAAGAAAATCGATATTTTGCATGTGCACTCCTCAAACTAGCCTCAGCTTTCTCTCTCCTTTCAGGATGTGGACATGGTTTTGCTGTTACTCCTTCATGTTATTATTATGATTATGTCACGGGACACGGAAATAATGAGCTTTCTCTCCCTGCATATTACGTTACAATAATATTAAGGCGGCATAATCCAATTACGGAAGGAATGTGTCCATATTGACGACGGTATCCGGTGTATAACGACGCATTTACTATTTATAACTTGTGCATCATCAAACTCCTACTGATTGACCCCCTTTATTGTTTACAGTTATAATTGCGTATTTAAATATGTATTTCCCCTTTTTTTGACAGGCCGATGAAATGCGTCCGCCCCAAGGGATGTCTCGAACCGAAGCGTCTAATCTACATGGAGGATATCGAAAGTGGATCGATCGAAGTGGTGCGAGTTGCATGCAACAATCTGCAATGCGAGCAAGGAAATTACATGCATTCCGAGTGTTTCGCCGATTGGGAAACATCGGTCTTGAACTTCCTCAGCTCCACTGGCCGAGCTAGGTGAGAGACAATTTTAAACTGCCAATTAACTCACCTGATAACATACAAAAAATGTCATTAGAGTCTTGTTGCATATGTAAACGAATCACAAAACTGGGTCTCATATCGTATCTATCATCGACCAATTATGTACTGCTTTAGATCTTGGTCGGTGAAACAGCGACAACAAAACTTGTGGACAAAGAAGGGTTACGATATTTCGTATCGTGCATGTGGCTGCAACTGTGGAAAAGGTCACCTTCGCAAAGATTTGGATTGGATCTCCCCCACGGAGAAATTGGACCGAATCGCGGCCGCGAACCCAAATCCACCCGCCGCTCCGGCTGCTGCGGCCGCAGTCGCAGCCCAAGCACAAGAAGAAGTCGCTGCTCCGAATCAACATAATGCAAACAATCAGAACCGCGACAATGCTGCCGCTGTTGCCGCCGCCGCTGCTGTTGCTGAAGAGAGAAAGAAGAAAAAGAAGAAGGCGAAAGAAAACCTGCCCACACTTTCTCTCTCCGCTCCGGTGCCCCATCCGAATGATAATCATAGCCGAAAAGTGGCTCCTGTTGCAAGTGCTCCCATCAAGGCGACAACCTCGACCTCGTCTGACCCCACTTCTTCGTCATCTGCATGCAATTCTGGGGGCTCTGCAGGCTCCTCTTCTTCCAGTGGGATAGGAAGCTTTGGAAGTTCAGATTCAGATTCCCCCTCGCCACCGTCATCCGGCCCGTGGAATCTTCCCGAATCCGCGTCCCTGTATCGTGACAGGGTCAACAGTCTTTCCTCTAATGCTTCCGGCTCTTCGGGAGCTTTTTCTGCTGCGTCTGGATCTGGATCGCCTCCTTCTCCTGGGGCACAGTTTGGATCTCCAGCCTCCACCAGCTCCATGCTGGCACAGAATTTCTTCAAATTCCAGAGAAAGAATTCCAACGGGGGTGACCGAATTCGGTGAGTTTTTTTTATGTAACTCTCATCTTCTCACAAGAAGTAGTTCTTCTTCCAGACTTAAAATTACTTTTATTATCAAAGTGTTGACTTGCTTCATTTCCTGATTGAAGTCATTTTCAATGCTCTTTTGCTCCCTTTGAGGTTGTGGGTTCACGTCGGGATTAATTTGATATCTATTGGAGCGAAAGTACGTAGTGAAAGGGGAAAGTGGGAGATGATTGGATAGCTCGGAGGGAGTCCTATAATCTCAAATTGTAATTAAGGAGGAAAATTACGTTTCAATTTCAGGCACAACTCGACGGGAAGTTTGTTCTGTCGTCGCAATGACTTTTCCAGCTTCAACTTTCTCCCAAAACAAAAACAAAACTCGTACCACATTAAGGTAAGAACTTATTAATAAACTTGTAATTGCATACATTATTATTTAACCATCATGAATTAAATTAATAATTTTAATTAAGGCGTCGTTAGAAATAGAACTGTCATTTATATTTAAATACTGTAAATTTACATATTCTATCACCCACAGAACAAAAGCATGTATGTAAGAGGAGACAATGTCACTTGTCATTTTGGTGTCGTAACACATTAAAATTGAGCCACACATCCCCAAAACATTATGCATTCATCCATGCTGACCTTGGATTTAGAGTGGTTTAAAAATGGACGTGAATTTCAATTCAAAACTTTCCTTCATAAGTTTGCTGCATTAATCTGCATACGTATTTATTTACCAGACCTCTCAACCCACTCGTACTTAAATACAAGACTACATGCATAACTTCGGTTTCGGTCCTCTCCTCCAAAAAATTGCTGTGTTTGTTTAACTTGGATTTGTGTGTGATTGTAAATTCTAGGATTAGTGTTAGTGGGGATTAGGGACACACGGCTTAGAGTTAGAGTTAGAGTCGATCCTTGTTAAATATGAAATGTGTTTGACTTTCATTTTTAAACATTTTTTTAGTATTATTTGCTATGCAGTTATGTCCTCTTCTGGCATGCGGTAATATGCATGGGGAACATTATGAAAATGAATAAGTGAGGGTGGATTATCATTATGGAGAGAAGGATGCGATGCATATTGTGTGCTCAACGAAGGCATGCAATGGAAGGGTTATACATTTTTCTATTCAACTCTACATGGCATTCATATTACGATTACGAAGGAGGAGGAAAAGGAAGGTGGAAGTTCTAGTCAGAAATTTGTTTGAGCATGGAACACACTTTTTTATTCAGGTATTCATTCATTAGTAATCCCCGTCTCCTTTGCACACTGCACATTGTAAATACATATTTCTCCTCTCATTACGACTGAATAGATGGATGGATGGATGGATGGATGGGAAACACGTATAAAATGCAGCATTACTTCACCTCTTCTTCGTTCAAGTATTTATTATCACATGCTCGACTCACTAATTTAACTGACTTTTTGTCTGGATGGATGTTACGTACGTTCATTTTTACACGAACATGATATTATTATTGACGAACGAATGACGCAAAATTCTAGGTGACTAAAACTAAAGAGCAGAACGAGTTAAGTAAAGTATGTAGAAATTGAAAAGGGATTGGATTTTTTGCCGAATTATTGCAGAAAAGGATAAAGGGAGCTTTATTACAAAATAGTGGACAAAATTGGGCAAAGAAAACACTGTTTCTGTGAAGAATTGTGTCATAAAGTCGTAAAAAAGCTAGTCAACAATTTGTTTATTGGTTATTACATAACCTAAATATAACTCATAGTAAGAGAGCAACTGCTTCTGGACAAGAGATTAGCTTCCGTTCTTGGTTGCTAGCTTACGAACGAGGGAACTTTTTTGGGTGTCAAGTACCGATTATTAAGTTCAAATTGTGCCAAATTGTATGCAATTAAAACTTCATCATCAAACATTATCTGCAAAGTGAGGTACACAGTAAAATATGCAATAAAACAGGTGATTTTTAGTACGTGAAACATACAGTTCCAACTTCCAACCCTTCTCATTTGTGCACTTCACAAATCCTGTCTAATTTCATTATTTCATTAGCGAAAATCGTAAATATTTTGCTTTGTAACTGTCTTCAAACTCAAGTTACAGAGAATGTTCTATGGTAAAGTTTTTAATTACGTTAAATTTGGTCCAGTTTGAAACTAATGTGACGTAAATCGGTGCTTATCATCCAAAAAGGTTCCCTCGTCTTGAAGCTTGTACTTTATGCCCGTCATTGTCCAGATTAATGGTGCTACATAAATTGGCCTTTTTAGGCTTGTGTGTGTGCATAACGCATTGTCAACTCTTCTTACAGAATTTTTATTTATTTACAACACACTGAAGAGTTAAATGATTGAGGAAATATTTGTGTTAGTTTTTATTGACCTGTAAGCAGAAAACTTACCTATATAGATAATCAAATTATAAGCATATGCTACGCTACACTATGAAGAAAATGTGTTTGTCTGGTGATGATGAAACCCATGGTTGGGACATGCATAATCTGCCTAGAAAACTTGTGTCTGCCAACAATGTTCGCATTTCAAGAGCAAAGTCAACAATGTTGGATCAATCTCAATCCCATGTTTTCTGACAGCTTCAAATTTTACGTTTACCAAGCAAGATCGATTGCTTAAAAATTTGAAATTTTTTCTGCCACGATGATTAAGCGGCGGCCAAAATATGCTGAGTAATACATGCATAATTCCATAAACAATAGGATAGCATTCAAATTCTTGTAACACTTTTACATAAAATTAGTTGTATCCAAGTAGATATGTCTTTTGCTATTTTTCCGTTTTTTCTTCGACATCCTCCAGATTGTTCTAAATCACAGCATGAAATTAACAATAAAGTAGAAAACTTGTTAAGATATCCATCCACACTTTGTAGAAATCCTTCCCTATAGAAATGCATAATCTTTGTGAGGACTTTGTGTTCAACCCTTCTCCTCAGACCAGCAGTTTAGTCTGGAAGGTTCTTTTCTCTTACAAAGCTGCTGCTTCTGGAGAAGTTATAATAATGCACTTTTGAATTTTTTATCCACTTCTTACTTATTCTTACCTAGGATAAGAAGAGGTTTTGGTTATGTATATATCCATCCGTTTAAGTTAAACATTCGGTGCTTTTCTAAAAACCTAGCAGTACGTGCAGTGCATGGTTGACTGCTTATTATTACCCTTGGCTCAAATCCTCCTCTCTGTACTGTATCCTTTATCCTGCTGCTGCTGGATATAGATGAGATTTACAGTTAAAAAACTATGTACATGTTTTAGCCCTCGTTCTCGTCGTCGTCGTGGTCCCTCACAATAAAAAGTGCGTAATTCACTTGGTTGGTTGGTGCCAAGTCATTGCCAGAGGCTTTAGGTTATCGGGAGAGAGAGAAGAAGAAATACAGAAATGTACTTGACGCCCTTGGAGGCTTTAGTTGAAAGAGTCGGATAAAAAAGAAGTAACTTCTTTTTCCTTCACTAACTTTGAACCACTTTTTACTTACTTGCATACCCTTCCTCTAAATTCAAATTCGAACCACACACTCCACTTGTTCAACCTGAGCGATTTATTCGTTCGTTCCCTGGGGAAAGTTGGTGATTAGTAGGGGCAGAGGCTGGCCGTTTTTCTAAATTGTGATGTGAGCATGGAAGAAATTAAAGCCGGATTTACAACCTGTTTATCAAAGTAAAGTTACCGATTGAAATCACTGCGTCGTCGTTAAAGGATTTTTGGTTAATTTGAATTTTATGTAATTTCCGTTCTCTCTTCTCCAGATTATGAAAGATTTGGTAGCCTTTCAGTTCATGGAATTTACTCATTTTGCATCAATAATTTCATTCAATTCATTCTTCACCAAAAAGTGACCTCATTCACACAAATATGATACCCTTTTGCGAAAAAAGACCTTTTAAATCTTTTGCCACATCATTTTACGCTTTATACTTTTTCCTGGATTTCCCATCGTGCCATTCTCCTTCGTATTAGGTAGGTCACGAGGTCATAAGTACTACTTCTTCGACCCGTAACGGTTTCCCGTCTTTGTTAAAAAGTATAGGTTCCAAAAAGTACAATGATTTATTTACGTATTATTGGTTTCCGGGCAGAAAGGTCTTTAAAAACATTGCCTTTTATTTTACGTACCCTGATCCTGGTCTGGTCGACCGAGTGATGATGATGATGATGATATTTACCTCCCTTCTTCTTCCTACACCCCCTAAGGTTTGGTAGGAAAGTGGACTTTTTAATTACAGTCGTTAGCTTATATGTACATACGTTGACTTGAGCGAGATCAGTAAAAAAGGAGAGAGAGATGATGATAAAATGAGACGTGTGGTGGGGAAGCAGGGAGGAGGAGAGGACTTTGTTTTGTCCCTTTGGTCCGACTGGTGGTGTGATTCTCGGATGTTTGTTGGCTAAGGTTAGGATTGGGAGCCCTTGATTCATGCCATGAGGGATGGAAGGTTCGGATCAAATTGATGGATCCCCGTCCTTCTACGTACTGGCCAAAGGTTCCATGTTATTATTATTTCCTCATCTGCCTCCACCACTTTGGGTGTGTTGTTTTGCGTCATTTTTGGCCAGTAGGAAATTCTCAGTAGCGTTAAAATTATTAAATAAATTATGTATGCAAGGAAGGACACAAGAGGAATTAATAAAATGTGAAGCTGGGTTATATATTTTTTTGGATAAGGCTTTATTACGTAATACTTAATATGACCATATAAAACTGCATCTTATTCCTCTCATTTTTTTGTATGACTTTTTAAAAAGTAACGAGCACCAGTTGGGATACGGTTAGAATAATAAATTTTGGATTTTTAAATATCCCAAGAAGATGCGAGGGCAGACTTACAATTCCATCCACACAAGTTGTTCGACGAGGTCAAGCTTTTTAATTTCAGACTGCTCAGAAATAGAATGACTAGTTCCATCCTGGAAAAAAATATGATGCCGGATTGGATGATATGATACTACAAAGTTGGGTTTTAAAACTAAAATTGGGTAGCGACGACGTTGAATTTTTTGTGTTCCAGGCAGACAGGAGCAAGTGAAAAGGGTTGCTTATGTTAGGTTGAAGTGTTAACTTATAATTGTAGGAATTGTTGTACTATTTATCTCCTCTGTGACAGAGGCTCTGTCTCTCTCTCTCGCCTACAGATTCCGACGAAATGAAGGCAGGAATAAATATAAAAAAAGTTTTTTAAACTAGTAACTCTGTAAAAAGAGAGCCTAATTAGAACCTTGGAATTTTTCGTGTCTGTCTCCCCACACAAAAAAGTGAGTACTTACTGCCTCTTATTGCACGTAGAGAGTCGTTTAAATGCCAAAGTTACAACAGTTACGGAACACATTTATATCAAATTACATTACTTTTATTTATAAAAAAGTATTGTTCTTCTCTCGTAAATACTTA